GTTTGTAATGCTCGGGACAAAGACCAATCCAAAAGCTATACCCTGGCTTGCTCCTTATGTTGTTTCTTGTAACAATATGGAAATGTACAGAATTATCGTGACATTCAGTATTCGAACTTTTACATACTAAGAATTGGTAAGTAGCATTAGGTGATTAATACCGATATCTTATCGGCTATCTTTTCTCTCTCGGAATCAGATAAGAATCGAAAAGCTTTTCCTTCAATGAGATTAGGTAATCACCTAATGCTACTTACCAATTCTTAGTATGTAAAAGTTCGAATACTGAATGTCACGATAATTCTGTACATTTCCATATTGTTACAAGAAACAACATAAGGAGCAAGCCAGGGTATAGCTTTTGGATTGGTCTTTGTCCCGAGCATTACAAACATAATTTTGTTAGTTGGACACTTGAAAACTAACACGGTTGCTTTGTGCGTGCAAAAGGTTTTGGGGAGATCATCGCCCAATGACAAACTTGTGCTTGTTCATACCCTTGAAAGAAGAGGCCATGTCGTCGTGGTAACTTGGAATTGAGGAGTTAGATGAAACCATACGCGAAAATGTTTTTTTTTTCATTTTGTACCTTCAAAATCCATCTATCATTTTTTTTCATCTTTTTGGTTAGATTTTCCTTACTGGTGTTTGAAATGAATTTCAGGCAGATATTGGCCTTGCTGTGTGAGAAATTGAGAATTCAAGGAACATAAGTGGCTAAGGAGAGCTTGGAAATCATCACGTTTTGCTTTGTTATATCCACTTCAGTTGTTTAGGTTTGTCAAACTTTTGCCTTGTTATATTTCTTCGCATATAACTAACTACTTACGTTTGATATCCTCTTTAGCTGTTATTAATATTTCGAATAATGTTTTATGGCCAGCTTTCCGATTTATGTTGTCCTGAAGTTACACTGTTGAAACTAATGTTCATATACACATTCTGAGATTTATCCAGTTTCAGCTCGTTGATAATGTCGCTACTCTCATCATTGCCGTTGTAGCTGTTGTTAATGTTGCACTCAACGTGCAGCTCACAGTTTCCTCCAGCTCTTGGCTCATTATTTATTTACCTTCAAAATCCAGTATCCATCATTTTTTCCATCTTTTGGGTTATATTTTTCTTACTGGTGCTTGAAATGAATTTCAGGCAGATATTGGCCTTGCGATGAGAATTCAAGGAACAAAAGTGGACAAGGAAAGCTCGGATATCATCGTCTTTTGCTTTGTTATATCTTCTTCAGTTGTTAAGGTTCGGGAAACTTTTACTTTGTTATATATCTTCACTATAACTAACTACTCACGTTCTATATCCTCTTTAGCCGTCATCATTATTTGAAGAATGTTTCATGACCAGTTTTCCTATTTATGTTGTCATGAAGTTACACTTTTGAATCTAATTATTGAAAAATAAAATGCGGAAATTAAATTAGAAAGGAAGAACAAAAATAAAAAGAACGGAAACACTTTTACTGCTCCATCTCTTCTTCTTATTACATTACAATGAAAATAATTCATATAATGTGATTTGCATCTCTTCACTTGATTCACTCTTCTATTCATGGTAAGATGATGGTAACGGCTAGGTGACAAGGCTGACAACTGAGCAATCTTTCCTTGTGCGTCTAATGTCTATCCAAGAGTGGGTGAGTGTCTTTCTCCAGCATTTGTGTACGTCCAAAATCATTCAAGTGTGTGTCAAGGTCTCTTCTCCAACACTAATGTCTGTATACACAAACATTTAAAGATTTATCCAATTTCAGCTCACTGTTAATGTCGTTGTTCTCATCATTATCGTTGCAGTTGTTGTTAATGTCGCACTCAACATGCAGCTCACAGTCACAGTTGCCTCCGGCTCTCAGCTCATTACTTGTTGAAGGAGTAGCTCAAAATACCAGTGGTGGTATTTATGCTCCAGGAGTGAGCTTCTTTACTACAGTCATCTCACTTTATGTAGATGATCTGTTAGTTACAGGTTCTTGTGTTCAAGAGATTGAGAAAGTGAAAAAGAAGCTGATGAGCTTGTTTGAGATGTCTGATCTTGGTCAAGTATCTTTCTTTCTGGGAATTGAGATAAATCAGAGTAAAGGGGGGATTTTTCTGTGCCAGAGGAATATCTCTCTGAAACATTGAAGAAGTTCAAGTTTGATGGCTGTAAGAGTGTGAGAACACCCATGAACATGAAGGAGAAGTTAGTGATTGAAGAAACAGAAGAAGAGGTTGATGAAAGGAACTATCGAAGCTTGGTTGGATGTCTGATGTACTTAACAGCATCTAGACCAGATGTGTTGTTTGTTGTTAATGTACTTTCGAGGTTTCTGAATAATCCAAGGAGGAGTCATTTGGTGGCAGATAAAAGGGTGTTGAGATATTTGAAGGGAACACTTGATTATGGTGTTCTGTTTAAGTCAGATTTTGAAGCCGATTTGGTTGGGTTTGCTGATAGTGATTGGGCTGGTTCAACTCAAGACATGAAGAGTACCTCTGGTTTCTGTTTCATGCTTGGTTCAAATTGTTTTTTGTGGAGCTCTAAGAAGCAGGAAGTGGTGGCTCAGTCAACTGCCTGCGGAATTCATTGCCACAACTGCAGCAGCAAACCAAGCAATCTGGCTCAGAAAAATCCTGTGTGATTTGGGTTTCATTCCAAGGATTCCAACTCAGATCAATGTGGACAATCAGGCAGCTATTGCCATTTCGAAGAATCCTGTTTTCAACCTGATGTCCAAGTTCATATTCAAAAAAGCTAACAAATACTTTATTTCTGCACATAGTTTTTTATATGGAGAGTATTAAACATTGCATTATTGCTTTGTTTTTATAGAATGTGTTAGTGCAAAGTATAGTTTTTTTGTCGAATTAAGTTTTCTTCTTTCAAAATTGTTTGTCCTCAACCTCTCTTACTTTGAACTAGATGCTATGCAAAGTATGATTTTAACAATTTGGTTTTAGGGTATCTCAATTTGGTTATACACATTCACGTGTTTTGTCTGATATTTCTATTTTTTCCATCAACCTGTTTGTTTATGTTGTCTTCTGGGTGGGCAAATCTTATGGCAATTAATTGTTGACTTTCAGATAACTTCGAAACGGCAATATATCCGTTATACCCTTTGACCGCTACATATATTTCTGAGCTTACCCTCGAAAAAAAAAATTACTGAACAAAACAAAAAGACAAAAAAACCATGAAATTAAATGGAAAGACAGCGTTACCCTTGGCATGCCACACTCTCTCTCCCACGTTTTCTTCAGTTTCGAAATTAACTCTCTCTCTCTAAAGGCAAAAGACCTCTAACTCAACTCTCTCTCTAAAACCTCCGATTTGTTCTGCATTTTCGCCTGAGCCAATTTCGGTTTCTCCTCTTCTTCTCTCTGTGTCGAAATTTCTGTTTGCGGCTAGATTCGAGTAGAGATTTGTGGAAGACATGACGAAAGGGAAGAAAATGGTTGTAGAATCTTCGGTACAGTCGTCTTCATCATCTTCTTCCTCCGAAAATGAGGATCGTCAGCAAATTTCAGAGTTAAAAGGACAGACGGTAGGTTAAATGAACTCCACCATCATCTTCCGGTTGGATTTTGGTTGTTGTTTAGTTGAAATATCGATTTCGGAATCTATAAGTAGAGATTTAGGGTTTGGATTTCTGAAATTTTGCACATTGCGAAGTAGACGGTGGGTTTCTAAAATCTGTAAGTGACGTAATTAGTTGTCATGTGAAATGAGTGACATTGTGATTTGGGGTTTCTGAAATCAGTAGAGATTTAGATAACTGATTAGGGACATTGTGATTTAGGACTGAGAAAAGAGTTACAGTAACCTTTAAATCGGATTATAGATGTATGGATTGCATGGTGATTTGTGTAGGTGACAAGGTGGTATGGTCACAGCGTCACATGTTGTCATAGGCCACAGAGTCACATGGTGGTATGGTCACAACGTCACATGTTGTTATAGGTCACAGAGTCACATGGTGGTATGGTCACAACGTCACATGTCGGTTATAGGTCATAGACTCATAGTTCACATGGTCCCAGGTCACACAATTATATGTTCGTGTAGGTCACAGGTCACTGGATCACAGGTGACTAGATCACA